GGGTGACTACTCGAAAGCACTTGAATTTTTCAAAAAATCACATGAAATCTTTCAAGAAGCTCTGCCTTCAAATCATCCCGATTTGGCTGAATCATACAACAACATCGGTGGAGTGTATTACAAGATGGGTGACTACTCGAAAGCACTTGAATTTTACGAAAAAGCACATAAAATCTTTCAAGAAGCTCTGCCTTCAAATCATCCCTCATTGGCTACTTCATACAACAACATCGGCCAAGTGTATCACAGCATGGGCGACTACTCGAAAGCACTTGAATTTTTCAAAAAATCACATGAAATCTTTCAAGAAGCTCTGCCTTCAAATCATCCCGATTTGGCTCAATCATACAACAACATCGGTGGAGTGTATTGCAAGATGGGTGACTACTCGAAAGCACTTGAATTTTACGAAAAAGCACATAAAATTAAAGAAAAATCTCTTGCTCCAAATCATCCCGATTTGGCTATTTTATACAACAACATCGGTCAAGTGTATAACAACATGGGTGACTACTCGAAAGCACTTGAATTTTTCAAAAAATCACATGAAATCTTCCAGGAAGCTCTGCCTTCAAATCATGCTAATTTAGCTTTTCCATACAACTGGTTCGGCAGAGTTTATTGCGGTATGAAAGATTACTCAAGGGCGCTTGAGAATTTCGAAAAGGCGCTCGCAATACGTCAAAAAGCTCTACCTGAAACACATCCTAATCTAGCTATTACATACAGTGATATAGGTGATGTTCATCGATTAATGGGTGATTATGAAAAGGCACTTTCATTGCATCGAAAAGCACTGAATATTCAAGAAAATGTTCAATGTACTCCTCTGGAATGCGCAACAACATACGTAAATTTAGGTGAAACTTATCGAGAAATGAAAGATTATTCAACGGCATTAACATATTTTGAAAAAGGATTAAAAATACGTGAAAAGAAATTACCAAAAAATCATCCTGATTTAGCTGTAGTATATTACAATTTGGCAAAATTATATTTCTCGACTCGACAATATAATATGGGAATGAAAAATGTTCAACAAGCAGTAGAAATAGCTCAAGAAAAATTATCTTCAAATCATCCACATCTTGCGGATTATAGAGAAACATTTGAGAAAATTCGAAAGAAATTGTAATTTTTGTTGTTGTTTGCTCAATAAACTGTAATTGAATTTCTATTCACTTGCTTCGCGTACGCGCGCGCGACCAGGGAGAGGCCCCGTAAGCGTGCAACAGGTACACATAGAGCGGACCATGCCGGACTGGTAGGGCATGATCGTAGGTATGACGTACAAATAACGACGACAGGGACCCACGAGCAGAAGGGCCTTCCCGAGTGCTACACTGCTTTCTCCAATGCAGGACAAACAGTTTCTCTCGCCTGGGTCAGATTACGAAGCCATCTGACAGGCTGTGTTATAAGATTGTACATAACTCTCTCTCCTTTCCTACACACAAGAATATAGTTATTAGAAATTATAAAAATTTACAAAATGTCAATAGAAGAAAAAAAAAGAANATTTTATTTTCTAATTTTAGTAAACCACAAAATCAATAAATAAGATCATTGATTGAGTTTTTTTTCTTTTTGTTCGACATTATTTTTCATAACGATTGAAGATGTTTTCATGAATAAATAAATGACGAACGATTTTGTTCGATTTGAGAAGAATATTTAATTAGTTGATTTAGATAATTTCGATTTGGTGATATTGTTGGACGAATATTTGATAATAATAAATAAGCTGATGAGAAGGAATGACCATGATGTTCAATTAAATAAGCAATTACAACTAAACACAAATATTTTTATTTTATTCAATTATTTTTATTTTTCTTTTTCTTTTATTAAATATTTATTTAATAATATATTTATTTTTGTTCATTTTATTTAACAAAACAAACTCAAATCATTATATATTTATCTAAATAAATCTCCTATGATAGATAGTTGAACTACTACTGATCGATAATATACGATTTAACTAGATTTTTTCGAGTAAATTAAAACAAAAACAAAAACATAATTATTCAGGAATTTGATGTTAAATATCCTTGAATATTTGACTAAAAATTAATGAATAAGTCTTATCTATAATTAGAAATATCTATTATTTGATGAGTAGACTTGTAATAGTTTGAAAAAAAAGGAAAAAGAAAAAGAAAAACGTGGTAAAACAGACTTGCAGCTGATCTTGATCTTCCATGTTTACAAAAGACGAGACATCGTCCATTTTTATTTTGATGACATAATTGAATAAATTGATTTGTTTGTTGAAAATAATTGATAATATATTCATCAAGTGTATCATGTAATGGTAAATGAAGAATTTCATATGATTTATCAAGAATAATATTTGTTAAACTTAAATTAATTAAATGTGTTATATTTAATTGATTTAATAATGAGGGTGTACATGCATCTTCTATTGAACCCAAATAAAGAAAATTATCGATTATTGTTGACATTTTATTTCATTGATATATTTGTTTTTCTTTGTTTTTCTTTCTTTTCGTTTCTTATCATAAACGAGCATCTGTTACGAAATACAATCACGTGCTACTTTTTATATCGACTAGAATAAATATATTTATTCTTATCAATACTTAAACATTATTCCTTAAAGCTATGTTAAACAAATTGTTTAATTTACTTTTAATGATAATAGGATAAATAGAATTTGAATTATTAACATAAATGATTTGTTTTTTTATGTTTTTATTTTTAAATTCATAGTTATATTATATTAATGAATTCGTTTAGAAATACAAATCATATCGAATTTAAAAATAATATTTCAAATAAATATTTTTGTTTTAAAGAATTTTATTCTAAATGTTAAATCATTAATATTGAACAAGATTAATTAAATATATTAATTATTATTTATTGATTCGACTTTTTTTTCTAGTATAAGTTTAATTATATATAAAAATAATTTGTTGATTGAGATTAGCTATTTTTTTATTTGATCAATATCGTCTATTTATTTATGAAGATTAATTTCGAATATTTATTTTGAAGATAATTTTAATATTTTAATATTTTTAGAAGAAAAATAAACTGATTTTAATCAATTAAATATAATCGATAAATGAAATATAAATAAAAGAAATTTTATTTCAAGTCTCTTTATATTATATTATATTAATCGAAACAATAAAAATATATATTTTATTTTTTTCCTCAATTAAATATTCTTTGATGAATTTATTTATTTAATTAAATCAGATATCAATATATTTATCAACGAAATTTGATTATGAAAAGTCAATCGAATAATGTCTTTTAGGTTTTTATTTGTTTAAACAATATTTTAAAATCGATATTAACTCTAATATAGTCTATTTTAAATTCTTATAAAATTAATATATAATCAAATATAATGATTCTTTTTCCTTATAATTATTTGGAAGTTAAATAGATTTATTGATTTTTCTAAATATATAAAAAAGAAAGAAAGAAAGAAAGAGATCTATCTGAAATAAAATATTTTTTTTTTGTTTTTTTGATGAATTTATTTAATATTTCGAAATATGATAAATATCTATATAAATTTTGTCAATGTTTGTTTTTCATGTTAGAACGATATTTAAATTATTATAATTAACTATTGATATATTATTGATGAAAACTATTTCTATGAAAAAAATTTCATAACATTAATATGATCTTTATTAGAATTTATTCAACGATGTTTTTTGTTTTTTTATTATTTCGATATGAAAAGTAGATTATATCGAATAGAAATAAAAAATAATTCATTTTCGCCGATTATTTGTCACGACATACTGTCTATTGACATGATTTATTAAATAAATGCTATACTTTATCAGATAAATATCACGAGAATCAATTTTACGAATTCAACTTGAATTTCATCATCATCATCATCTGTAGCGTATCCAAGTGGACGTTGCTTTCGCTACGAGACTACGCCATTTCTGCCTGTCTTGGGCATTTTTCCAGGCGGAGAAGAGACCTAGGTTGAATGGACGCAGATCGTCTTCTACGGAGCGGATCCACGCGTGGCGTGGTCTGCTTCAAGGGCGTTTCCATCCACGTGGTGGTCCATTAATGCCTGCTTGTAGTGCTCTGGTGTGGTCGGAGAGGGGATTGCTCCTAGCTATGTGTCCAAGTTGTCGCGGTCGTTTGCTTCTGATAGACGCGCTGATCTCGGGTTGTCCGGTACGTTCGCGGACTTCTTTGTTGGTGATGTGTTTTGTGTACGGTATGTGGAGAATTCGTCTTAGACACCAGTTGTCGAAAGCGTCTAATTTCTTCTCGACCGAGTCAGTTATTGTCCAGATCTCCGCCGCCGTACAGGAGGACTGGTAGTATATAGCAGTTGTAAAGACGGATTTTGGTCTGCACCGATATGCTTGAGCGCCAGATAGGTTTGTCCAGTGTCTTCATGCAGTTCCGAGCGATTGTGATCCTTCTGGTGATTTCTGGTACGCTGATACCCGTGTTGTGAATCGTGCAACCTAGGTAGACGAATGAGTCGACCACTTCCACATTTTGGCCGAGTATAGATAGTGCGTTGTTGTTAGTCAGTTCGGTTCCAGTTTCTCGAATTTTTGTCTTTGGCCAGGTGATTTCTAAGCTCAGCAGGCGAGCTTCATACTGCATGACCTCCAATGCCAGCAGAAGTGCTTCTACAGTCTCAGCTAGAAGTGCCACGTCGTCCGCAAAGTTCAAATTGGTGAATACTTCGTTACCCAGTGTAGCACCAAACAGCCCTCGGTGTACCATTCGTTGGAGCAGCCAGTCCATTGATGCCAGAAACAAATCCGGGACAATTGTGCACCCTTGATGAACGCAGCTGAATGTGTCAGAAGACATTTCCTTCATTAGCTCGACGATTTTCTTGGGGACACCGAGACTTGTCAGTATAAGCCAACGAGCGTTACGATCGATCGAGTCGAACGCTGCCTTGAGGTCGACGTAGGCGATCCAGAGTGGGCAGTTGTACTCGCGCTGGGTTTCAAGCAGAGTAAGTAATGTGAAGATTCTGTCCATCGTTGATCGGTCTGGGATGTAGCCGCTTTGTTCGTTCCTGCGCTTGACCAAAAGCAAGTTCTTCTCTCTTGACAACAGAATTCGCGCAAACAGTTTGCCGGGCACGACAGTAATGTGATACCTCTTTAGTTTTTGCCCTTCTGCCTGTTACCTTTTCCTTTGTAGAATGGTAGAATAATGCCTTTTCTCTAATCCGATAGGATGACTCCGGAATGTCAGACGTCCTGGAAGATATTGGTTAGCCAGATACTACAGTCGAAGCCTCCAGCTTTCATCATCTCGGGGGTGATATTGCATATGCCAGGTACTTTGCCGTTTTTCATTTTATCCAGGCAGTTGATAACTTCCTTCACCGTTGGTTCGCTGCAATTGATGGTTGGGTCTTCGATGGCCGATTGGACAGCGGTAGTCAGTTCTTCGGAGTCGGGTGCGGTGGGTCGGTTGAAAAGTTCAATGTAATAGTTGCACCAACATTCCAATTTTTGTGATTTGTCGCTGATTATGTTGCCATTTGCGTCGAGGATTGGGCTGCTGACGGGTTGGGTGGCCTTAGCTAAGCGTCGAAAGTTAGCAAATGCGACCCTCACTTCACCTGCAATGAGTGCCACCTCTCCATCTCTCGCCATGTTGTCAGTGCATTGTTGTCGATCTAATTTTAGATTTGCCTTGCAATGTTTGTCCAATATTTTATACTCATCATGCTTGTTGAGAAGTCTTGCTTGTCTCTTTTTTTCAATCAACATGAGGGTGATATCGCTGACCCACGGCCTCTTCCTTTGCTTGCGCATACCTAATTGCTTGGCTGCCACATCATTTAATGTTTCCTTGAATCTGTCCCAGCTTGAGGTCTCTTCGGCTGCTAGTGCGGCGAAGCGGTTGCTTATGTCCACTGCATATTGAAATTGCACTGCAGGATCTTCCAGCTTCTTGATGTTGTAACGTAATGTGTGTGATTTTTTCTCGCTTGTGCGTTTTAGCCTCAGCGACATCGTAGCGATTACAGGTCGGTGTTCTGTGTCAAACTTCAGACTACCATAGATGCGACAGTTTTGCAGGGCGGACCATTTAGTGTTGACCAAAATGTGGTTGATTTCCTTGACGATTACCACGTCATTTGAGAACCATGTGTACCTGTGTATATCCTTACGCTTAAACCATGAACCACTGATTCTTAGGCCGACTCCCAAACAGAAGTTCAGTAGCCTCTCTGTGTTGCCGTTTGGAGTGCCGCTTCCATATGGGCCGGTAATGTGTCTCATATTGATTCTTGATGTTCCCGTGACAGCGTTGAAGTCACCGAGATAGACGATGAGGTCGCTTTGATGTATCGTCTTCGTTGCTTGTTCAATTTGCTGGCCGGTATGGCTGAATGGTTAAGTTGTTTGACATATATCCACAAGATACTGTGTTCGAACCTCGGCTCCATCAGTCATAGAATGACCTTGGACAAGTCACTAACGGCTGTTTTGTCTCGGACCACCCATCCGATAACAAATTGACTAC